TAAGGACTTTGCTGTCCTAACTTCCTATGCCAGCCCGCTCTGTGTTTCCCAGCCGCCGTGTGTGTACTTTATCTTTGCTCTAACCCTCTTTTTCTTTTATGCCGCCCAAGCTCGCTCTGCAGAGGCAGTTTCTCTCCACTCTTCACTCTTCTCAAAAAAGCTTTGCTGCTTTTTGCTGGTTTCATGCAATTCTCAGTTGGAGACTAGAAGAACCTGGAAATCTTAACTCTAGAAGGAAAGGAGAGCAACCAAACCCAGTAATGTTTAATTGGCGAGCCACAAGCGACCCCATAATAGGACCCCAGTGTGCCTCTCACTTCTCAGTCCTGGAGTAAGGGATGGGCCCAGTGTACTCTTCCTCCATGAAGCACTGCTGCAGCCAGGAGCACTGAGGCCCACTGGGACCCCTCCCTGTCCCCCAAAAACCCCAACCCTTTTTGTCTTTCATAAGCTGATTGATTACCTCAGCATTTGTTATAGTGACAGCTTGCTGGCCAGCCCAGGGAGAAAGTGGGGAACACAAAAGCAGGTTCTGAATCCTACTCAGTCTCAGCTACAGCCAGGTGGGGACACTGAGGCCAGAGGAAGGAGACAGTGTGGGACACACTCATGTCACACTGCCTCAGTGCAGTGCAGGCGAGAGACGGAGATCTCAGGGGAGAGCAGACAGATGCTCAAACTGCCACTCAATCCTTGTCCCTTAGAAGCCTCTTCCTGGGAAAGGTCCTCTGGACTTAGATAGGCCCACAGCCCTGCATTCAAAACTCTGTGGAGTACAAGGACACACAAAGAGCAAGACAGTGGGACACGTGTCCTAAAGCGTGTCTGTGGGAGCCCAGGGAAGGGTGAGTCATGCCAGCCCAGAGGCTTGGGGAAGGCAGGGAAGGGGCGGGGGAACAAAGGGATGACCTTGTCTATGGAAGTGGCCAGGACTGACTTGGGGGTGGCGGTGAGAACGTGAGAACAGGTGTCAATGACTTTCAAGTGTAGGAACTGGTACCGATCATGCCTCAGTTCCCTTTCGGTCCCCTTACCCAGTAGGGTTAAAGGGCAGCAATTGAGTGACCCTATGATAGTTGAGGGCTGCGATCTAGGGCTATAAGCAGAACCCCACCCCACCTTCACCCCCCATAACACCTGCTAGCCAGTGACTACACAAAGGTTTGTTCTAGGTGTTGGGTTACAAAGCCCAGGGCCAGATTCCTGCCTTCCACAGGCTTCTGGTCCGGCAAGTAGAGACAGAAAACAAACCGATTTTCCCTACAGAAAGAGAACTCTAGGGGCATCCCCCCGCAAGGACTGATCAGGGCCAGAATATATTTAATCCATAATAAAAGTATTATTGGAAGATAGTACTATCAACTTAGACTCAAGGGCTGGATTATTAGGGTCAGTAACTACTGCGCCCAGCACATCTGAGCAGCCTACTTGCTGATTAATAACCTAGAGGTCTGCAAACTGACTTAACCTACCTATCCACCTATCCAGTTTTACATAAATTTCAGAAGCCTTCAGACCTAAGCAGATGGTCAAGACCATTCAAAAAGTCATGGTGAAGTCCCAGACTGAACTCTCAGAATGCACTTCATGGGATGTTTTGGGCACTTTATGGATGTGGGGGCTTTAAATCAAGGAAGTGTTGACTACGAAACCCTCAGCCTCACCAGCTTGTACCAACGCACAAGCGGGCTGATCTCTGTTCCCAGCAAACAACTGAGCTCTGCAGAAAGCTGAAGATGCAGTTAAAGGAAGGCCTGGCTTCTGCATCTCACAGTACCACGGACTAAATGTTCCGCCGTAGCTGCAAAGCCCTTCAACTTGACCATTCATCCTGCCCACCAGTATCTGAAAACACTGATATTGTAAAGGTGATCTGCCAGGAAGGCTAAAGCAAGAGACAGTGGGTTGAAGAAAAAAGGACAAACAACTATTACATTCGACAATCACACCAGTGTGGGGATGTAACCCAGTGGCAGAGTGCTTGCCTAGCACCCGTGAAGCTGTGGTTAGACTCCCAGCCACCCCCCCCCCACACACTGTCCATTTATGCAGGACATGAAAAACTGCAGAAAGGCCCTGAGAGGGTGAGGGGCCAGCTCCAACACGGCTCCCATCCAGTTGCTCTGAGAACCTGAGAATTGAGAAGCTGCAGCGTGCATGGGGGTGGGAGTGGGGGAGGTGTTCCCACAGAAGCTCTGAGCTGGGCATCTGTAAGGTGCACCTGCCCGCTTTGAAGGCTCAAAGTGCTGCATAAGCTCAGGGAGGGACACAGCTCCCTGCAGCCAGGGTCAGTAGGGTCCCTTCAAGCTCACCATCACGATGCCACACGAAGTGGATCACGTGGGTCCACTGTCTGGCCACTATGAAGGGAGGCTGAAGGGGCAGGGGTCAAGGAGAGGGAGCAAGAACAAAAAAAACACTCACCTGAGATGCAGAGCCAGGAAGGCAGATGCTGTTATCCATACACGCAGTCCTCACAGATTTGAACAGTCATGGGCTAAGGACCAATGGCCTTAAATAAGACACTGGGAAAAGCATACTTTTGGCAAATACTGAGAGTGAGGCAAAGACCCAGGGTCTGTTCTTAAGGGGCTCTCTACCCACTGTATTCAGAGAAAAGCTTTTTAAGAACTTCCGTAATTAATCAGGAAGAATATAACCTGTTCCTCTCAAGTGCTACCCAAGACGGAAAATGGCTATAGCCAGAATAATTTATTAGGCTTTCTTCCAAAATATTTAGCCCCATTTCTACCCAGGCAACACAGAGAAAACCAGAATTCTGGAATTCTACAATGGGCACATTAAAGCACAAAGTCTTCACAAGGCCAAGTCTGTACTTGTACATAAGCATGCACTTTGCTAAAGGCTTAAGGGAGGGGAAATTGAGAAACTCTCTAGAGAAATCTGAACAGTCATGTACAGTAAATCCATACCCTTCGTGTGTTCTTTCTTCTGGTAAAGAAACAGAAACAGTGACCTGACCCAAAATGCTAAGAGGAAGGAAAGCAACGTTAGCTCAAGTCTGCGCAGTGAGACAAACATGACTCCATTTGCCAGATAAAATAGGACATCTCCACAGCTGCATCACCAGATAAAACATGAAGTATTCACAGCTGGGCACCTCTATACCAGTTGCAAAGGCTCAGTCTGCTTATTCAACACGTAGTCCAGTTCCTCAACCTCAACTGAATCCTGCTGTCTGGATCCAGCCATCTCTGTTCTGATGCATAGAACTGTTTCACAGAAGTGAATTGGGTCACTATTTTTTAACGTGATGTCAAATAAATTACATCCACATTCATTTAAAACAATATCCTAATAAAAAGTTCCTAAGTGAGATTTCAAGATGCTAGAACCAACCAAGATTTGATTTAAAACACTGGTTTTAGGGTCAGAGATACAGCTCAGTGGCACAGTGCTTGCCTGGCAAGTGTGAGGGCCCAAGTTTAATTTTGATACCAACCCCTGCACTCAACCCAAAAACAACCCCCCCCCAAAAAAAAACCTCCCCAAAACCCAACTTGTTTTAAATACATTGGTTATAATAATGTAGTGATTACTAGTCCATATTTGTAACAAAAAAATGGTTTGCATCAATCAGATCCTTTAGTTCTGATACTTTATGGCTTTTCAGAATTGAAAAATTATTTTGCTTGCTAATGACTGAGATACAACACAAGATACTCTGGCAGAGCTTGCTGAGCAAATCAAACTGAAGTGAATGAGCCTAAGTGCTAACCATCTGCTGGGTCGGGAAAGACTACACACAGCAGCAAGAGGGCAGGCTGCAGGGTTTTGGACCCATGGGATGATTTCTTAGAAGTCATTTACAAACAGACACTTTGTGATAACGGGCCCTTGCGCATGACAGGCAAGGAGCCCTACTGTGGAGTTTCATCGTTAGCCCGATTCCCCACCCCCATCCCCCTTTTTGCTAATTTGCTTGAACTTGCCTTTCTGTGTCAGTCTCCCTAGGAGCTGGTGGCTATGCCACTGTACCAGGATGACCCTTTGTTTTGATTACGATTTAAGAGACCTGATAGGTCATTTAATATGTTTAATAACTTTAACATCTTTATTGGTACTTAAACTAATGAAAACTCTAACACCAAATAGTGTCATTTCTTCTGCTTAAGGGAACACAGAAACGGTAATTACATAAATAGTCAGATGATACAAACTATTTTGTTTCACCTTGGATACCCAACTACATGGGATGTGGAAATATTTATCAAGTAGATAATCAGTTTTATCAATAGCTAGAGTGAGCTGTTTTTGTAAACTGTTTTTCAGCTGAGAAAACAATATACTCCTTGCAGCATATTGGAAAATGAATGACCTTAGGATTTCCAAGGAACACAACTATTTTTCAAATCTGAACTCCCTGGCTGACCATTTGAAATAGTTTCAAATGTCTCACTCTTGGCCTTCATTTGTGCCAAACCCTGGACAAATATGCAGCGAGGTTGTAATTCTAAAACATCCCCAGTCTAAGCGGGGTGCTCGGCAGTCAGGCCTCTCCTTCCCACCAAGCCATCATTCATAGAGTTTGAGCTTTCTCCTGAATCGCGTTGTGCTGACTTTACAGAGAGGAAGAGAGACATTCAGCTGTTCTGCTTCTAGCTCTGACAGGCTAACAGACTGCTGCAAATGCACCGCTGTGACTGCATTGACTGTGCTGTGTTCAGAATGTCAGTGTCCAAATTCCATCTTTGGTCAAGTTCACATGCATGAGGGACGTAATAAACATGAACCAGACTCCACAGAGTCTGGTGCTGGTTAGCACTTGCAGAATGTACGTTTAAAAATATTCCTAAATAAAAAATAGCACATCCAATGTTGACATAAGGTGATACTGTTATCTGTATCACATCCTTACCCATTTCCTAGCGAGCCAAAACTGTTGATGAAGGATATGTTTTGTTTCTTTTCACCAAATAGCTGGAAATATTTTTTAAAAATTAAGGCAGACTAGAAATAAGATGCGATTCAAACATATCTTTTAAATCAGATTTGTTTTTTTTTAATTCAAATTGACCAAAGCAAAATTTACATTACAAAGGAAAAACAAAAATACATTATGATATAACACACTGGGAGTTACAAGAAGCTAAATTTGTGGGCAAAGGGCCTTATCCCAATCACATCCTGGGCTAACGAGCCATTCTGCAGGGAAGTTAGAATCTCAGTATGGTCCACTCTGGTGATTGCACTCTATGTTCTTGTCTCTCAGGGCGTGCATCTGACAAGCCATGCTAGATCCCTCGTGCTCCAGATGTGCGCTCGTGCGCTGCCAGAACACTGAATCCTCTAGCGGAAATGCTGTTCCAAGCATGACCGATGATGAATTAGAAAATAAACGTTAAGTCCTCCGAACTAACAAGCATGGGTTATTCTGTAGTAAATAGTTTAGAAAATATGGGAATTAAATAATCTAAAAAACACTCTTACTCTGCTGTACATTTATAAACACAAATATTTACAAAAAAAGAGACTTGTTTTCAAAAGATGAGGTTTGCAGTTCATTAATGATCATAATCTTTTATAAGCTGGTTTCTTTGGTGTACTTGCCAAATATATTTTTATAAAGATTTAGCAATAGTCTTAAACGATAAATTTGAAAAGAAACACAAGAATCAGTGACAAATTTGAGAATACGCTGAACATTTTAGTTAAGAGTCTGGAAAAGCCAATTAGTTGATTTTTTGAAAATATCTAGTCCTCCTACTCATCTTGTGGCCATGGAATGCTTCTCTGCCAATCAAATTCAAGTGCTTTTCACTGCTATATTCCCATATTAAAACTATGAGGCATTTTAGTTATTGTTAAATACGATATGTGATTGGGTTTTTATTAACAAACATAAAACACTCTTTTTAAGCTTCCAGATAAATCAAACCTCAAAAAATAAATAATGGAATTATATACTTCTTCATTAAATAGAAATTTCAATTCCAGGAAGAGCTCTCATAATTTTTTTTTTTTCTCTGAAGTCACAGCAGCAACACAGAACAAAGAATTTACCTTATTCTGAACTTTGTACTTGGAATTCCCTGACTCAAATTCAGTGGCTAACTTAGTTTGGAAACCTGTGAATGGTTGGAACGAGAATGTCATTTTAAACTAACTGAATCAATACACACACACACACACACACACACACACACACACACGTGGAAGGAAGTCCTGTGCAAACGGAACATTAACATCACTGCTCAGATGCAGGAGCCCAGGCCTCTCCCGCTTCCTCAGCTCCCGGGCGGCCTGGGGTTTCAGAAGGAACGCTCAGTTCATTTCCAGACAGACGACAACGCTGTTAAGGCACCTCACCCCTGGGCTGGGTAGCAAAGGACAAGAAACACAGTGTAGCAACTGCCTTCCTAGGGACTCCCCTGGAGACACAGTCACAAGGAAAAGGTGGACTACCGGTCCCTAGCCACTGGGCTCCAGCGACAGTCAGGGTGCCCACGGCTCTGGCCGCCTGGGAGGAGTCAATGGCCACACCAGCAACTCCCTGAATAATCCTTTTTGTCTGTAGTTGTCCAATGGTCAGGAACCTGCACGCGGCCCAGATACAGGCAGATCAGATACCGTAACGCCAGGGCTACTCTGGCAGCAAGCACAAACTTGGTGCTGAACATTCAGCACTGCCAGCTCTGGGAAAGGTAAGGCCAGAGCAGACTCCTAACTCTGCTTAGTTATACTTCTAGGGAAAAGGTTCTTATACTTTATGACTTAAAACTAGAAATTCAGACAAGAAAAGCCCTTCATCTTGTAAACTTCAGTTAACAAATTTATTAACAGCAAGTAAATATTATGAAGTTTCCCAAAGCACAAAGAATGATTCTGGGACATTTAAAAAGGTTCTTCTGAAACTCACATAATGATGAATGAAGCAGAGAACTCCTTCCCAAGGGCATCATCCCAGACGCCTAGAGCCTCTGGGACCTTTTCCACTGTTAATCATATCCATGCTTATGCTGCACACATATGCCCCAGCTACCCAGAGAACAAACAACCGTTCTTAAAAGCTTCACTGTACATAACTTTAAAGTAGCAGGAAATGTTCAATTAGCATATTAGGAATTAGCCAGACTTACAAATGTGCACCCATTTAGAGATTTACCCTTAAAATATTTTAATTAAAAACCAGGAAGAAAAATACCCCCAATTTAACCATTAAAGCCAAATGGCTTAACAGTAGTTTGGGCTATTTTTAGGGGATATTCTTTCACCAGGATATAAAATTCGCAAAAGTGAAATTAAAAAAGTAAAGCTTAAAATGGAATTGCAACCAACATATTACAGGTATGCAGTGAAGATTAAAGAGGCGGCCCCATTTTCACAGGCATGTCAACGCCAGCTGTGGAATGACGGACGACGGAGTAAATAATGGCTAGAATACACCAGAAGAAGTATTGCACTAGAGGTGCTGTTTTAAAAACAGAATATACTGGCTTTATACAGTTATTTTCTTTCCCATTTTTTTTTTTAAAGCACAATTCAACTACAGACAAAAGCTGAGACGGTGTCTCAGGGTAGTGTCCTACAGTTGTTTAAAAAAGAAAAAACAACTAAGTTAAAAACAAGAGCACACCCAAAGGAAAGTGGAGGTACTGAATTTCTATCTCTGAAAGTTACATTAATTAAGAAAAAAAGAACAGTTTGAAATAACCAATTTGTATTCATTGCAAGTAAACGAGGTGCCAGCACTTTAGATCCCTTCTTAGGCATTTTCCAATATAACCCAGGACACCTCCTGGGTGAAACTTGACCTTCGAACCATAGTAAGTGTTCTGCTGATTTCTAGTACCATGTCATCAATGAAACTATAAATTTGGAAAGGGTAAATTCTTTACTCCGAACTTGCTTGTGTCATTTAAGAAAAACAATTTTGCTAAATGCAGTATTGTATAGAAAGCTTGGACCTTTTAAACTTGGACCAAGAAACCAAATTAAGACCTTCAAGCATGTGGTGTGTGTTTATATATATAAAAAATCCCTCCCCTACAATGAAAACCAACCAAACAAACAAAAAACCTAAAAGTGTATACCTGCTTTCTGACTTCATAGCAAATCAGAAATTGCATAGGATATACTTTGTGCAAGGCAAAAAGCCTTTTTAAGTATCTGGAATATAACTTGCTCCGAGTCCTGGTATATCAGATATCATCAAATTTGTGTTTTAAGTAGTCTTTCATGACCTTGGCAATTGGTAGTTCATCAAGTAGCTTTAGATTTTGAAGGCCTATACATTGTCGAATTTTAATTCGGCACAGGTCCTGCAAGTTTCTGGGCTGTCCTAAAAAGAAAAAAAGAAAACGTTATAAAGCTAACAAGCATATTTAAAGCAGGCTTTGAGGTGTTAAAACAACCTTTCACCATCAAGTGCTCTTTATGGACCACATGCAAAGGACACATAGTACCCTCAGTAGCTCTGCGTGACCTCTCAGTTGGGTCCTTTCCACAACTCTCCATAACGGCAGACATCCCACCTCCACTTTACAAGGAAGGATGCTCAGTATCAGAGACTAAATGCAGGGTTCGATGTGTCAGACAAACAATGAAGTCTTACTTTGAGACTCCAATCAGTTCTTGTGATGCTAAGCTTGATATTCTTTCCATTCCAAGTCAGAATTCTGGTCTTGTCCTGGAGAGGCCTCTGCTATGCAGGTGAGCCTCTGCGGGCCAATCATTTTTCAGGGCCTCAGTTTCTCCATCTGAAAAGCACGGACTGCACAAGATACTCTACTGTGTGTCATTTCAGTGCCGCATCTGGGATGCTACAGCCTCAACACCTACTATCATAGTTTTAGTGAAGCTTTCCAAACAACACCTGGCCATCTGTTTACCATCACTCTGGACAGAGGAGATCCCTGGTTGTGAGGGGGAGGAGGGCTGAGAGGGTCAGAGGCAGGGACTGTGAGACAGCACCGCAGAAGAGTCTGATGCTTCTGCTTCCAGCCTCAAGGCCTGACCACCTGCTACCGAGCCCTCCTACTGGTCAACTCAAGTGAAAAATAATAAAGTCCCTTTTTTTTTCATTTTCAAATACTTTGCTTTACATCAAAACGATACAGAGAGCCACAAACACAACCAAAAAGTCTTCAACAGTGCTTCAACAGTATTTGGATTCACAGACATTGTGCACTTCTAGTAAATGCTGACAATAACAGAAACTAACATGTTAAATGCTCACAGTGTGCCACGCACTGTTGTCAGCTCTTGACATACATTAACTCCTTTAATCCTTTTATGACGGAAGTACTTTGATCAAGATCCCCATTTCAATAACAGCCTCAGAGAGATTAAGTAACATGCTCAAAGCAAAGTGGATGCTGTATTTCAGTGGCTGTAAGGTCTCAAAAATCTCTCTACACTTTTACAACTGATTGAGGACCCAGAAGAACTTTGATGTGGGCTATGGCTAGATAATTGCATATCAGAAATTCATATAATAAATTAAAACAGAGATTTATATTCATGTAGAATAAAAACAGACTCATTACATGTGCAAACGGTAACATTTTCTTTGTGGGTTTTTTGGGAACATGTATTTTTTATAAATACATGTTCCCAAAAAACCCACAAAGAAATGGTGAGAAGAGTGGTATTCTTTCACACTTTTGCAATTCTTTTAAAATCACAGCTAGCTAAATCATAGCTGAATTTTCATATATGCTGCTACATTCAGTCTGAAAAGGTAAATTACATCATCCAGCCTCTGGAAAACTCCACATCAAGGGATGTGAAAAGGACAAATGTCTCAGTATTACTGTAAGAATCATTTTGAGTTCATGCACACCACGAAAGGGGACACACAGGTTTCCCAAGCATATATGGAGATGGCTGCTGATTTGTGTGCTTTGTCCTTTGCTTGAAATGTGCTTGTTCATAAAAACGAGTTTAAAGTTTAAACTCTGTTTAAAAACTGTTTAAAGTTACATGACCATTCCTTGGAAATGCCAGTCAGCTATGTGTGCAGAGGGATCTGTGCAGTGGATGTGACACACACACACACACTCTTGCATAAGCTTATGTCCCCTCTATCTTTGGACCTCTGCCAAGACTTGGTGGGAAGACCACAAGGTCACACTCCCCAACAGACACTCCCAGAACTCCTTTCTTTTCCGATGCTTACCAATGCTAAGGTTGTGTTTCACATGCACACACTTAGTGCTCACATATTAGTGCCCGTTTTCCTCACTTCCTACAACATGTTCCTCAAGGGCAGAACCACTTGCTGACTTCATCTGCCAATGTAAACCCAACACCTGCCACGGAACTCGACAAATATTAGTTGAGCAAATTAATACTTAATTGGCTTCTCTTAAAGTATAGTCAACTCATGCCTATGTCAACAGCAAGTCATTCCTAACTTGTTTTGAATTATTTTTTATTATCTGCTGGGATACCTTTAGGAAGGGAATAAATTATCATCATTTTTCAATAAATGCTCATTGTAATGTAACCCAGAATACAAATTAGAGATGAATGTTATTTTTTATTATCTTAATAGGTGGCATTGTAATCCCAAATACTGAGTTTAGTTATCCAAGTATTGTAATCTTACTTTTCTTTATAATCCAAACGTTATATTTATAATACCATTGAGACGTTACTGGAATCCCAGCAAGTTAATTTTAATCTACCACCACCAATGCAACCCACGAAGACAGTAAAAAAACCAAGACATATTCCAAGTTTAGGGCAACCAAGGGGACCTAAATCCAATCCCCATGAGGATGTGCAGACAAAGGCCTTGATCCTAGGCCTCTCCCAGAATTTATTATCTAGTTTTTTTTTTTTTTTTGTCTTTTTCCTTTTTTTTTTATTGGTACCAGGGATCGAACTCATGACTGCCGGCTTGCAAGGCAGGCGCTTATGCCGCTGAGCTAAATCCCGAGCCCCAGAATTTATTATCTTGTGAAGAAGGGGGGTGGCTCAGGGATGAGTGACAGTGAGGATGGCGGGAATTATGTGAGTAACTTGAGCTGGCTGGCCAGGTGGGAGAAGGGTATCTCTGTAAATTGCAGAGACAAGGATATGCAGAAAGAACAATTCACATAATCTAATTAGGACAGCAACTGAATTGTTTTGGGAGGCTGTTGCTTTGGTTTTTGATATGTAAATTATTGTTCCTTCCTTTTCTGTTAATTGGTTCTAAATACCCTGTAATACTTTTACCCTCTTGAATGGTTTTACACTGTCTTGTTATGTTTGATGCTATAGTATAGGAAGGCATACTCAAATATTTCAAGGAAGGAGACACTATGGTAACTACTGTTATGTCGGGTTATCCTGTGGTGAACCACTATGTTGCTTAAATTGTTCTGTTCTGACCTGTGTTGTTATGTCCTCTTTCATCTTAATCTCCCCCCTTTATATATATATATATATATATATATATATATATATTTTTTTTTTTTTTTTTTAATTAAAAAAACACCTTTTGTGCCCTGGGGAGTCACAGCCTCTTTACCTTGAGGCTCCTACCCAGTTGACATTACCAGAGCTATTAGCTCTAACATCCTGCTGTGCTCATATCCTTTACACCCTTTATGGAGAAGCTATTCGGAAAACCCTATTCCAAGAGACAGGATTGTCAGTTGGCTTTAGAGATTACATACCAGTTCCTGGGCTAGCCCTATTTACAATGTTTAGAGCCAATTGAAGAGAGAAGGAAATACCATAGCCAGCTCTCCACATAACAGTATAATAAAATAAGTCTCCAAATAATCAAGGTCGCAGTAATTGTTTTGCATTCAAGGAGAGTCACTAGAGTTGTCTCCCACAGATGGCAGGTTCTTTTAAAGTATAATTTCAATGAAACAAACTACCACATTACATTCAGGCAAAAACCAGAAGAGATTAAAGTTGACATATATTAGGATTTAAATGAAAACATTATCAACAATATGCTAAAAACTAAATTAATAGAATTTGCATAGCTAAGATAAGATAAAAGGGATTGAGACAGGGCATATACTGGGGGATCTTCTGATAGTTGTGTTTTGTGGCAGACAGTTGCTCACCAGAGGACTATAGTATTTCCTGTCCCTCTTGCTTTTGGCAGTGTGGCTGGATATTCCTCACTAAATGACTGGGAAAGGTAACTGGTGAGGACGGCAGTAACTCCAACCTCATCATACTAATACTCTCATCATCAGTATTCAGTGACTTCTCATGTCATTTAATGGTTTAAAGCCTTAGTCAATCACTTTACTTCTGAGCTCTCTACTGCCTTCTGGAGCATCTAGCCTGGGGCCTCTCCCCTTGCAAAACGACTCATTCACGCAGGTGGCTGGGGAGTCTGTAATAGCAGTTGGCTGGCAGCTCCACCAGGACTGTCAAGGCTGAGATAATACTGGAACTACTTCACTCAATGGACACTCGGGGCCTAAACAGATTGCAACATTTTGCTCAAGTTACTACTGATTTTTCTTTCACTGCAGTGTCCTGAGATATCCAGTAATACTGAGAGAGAATGGTATGTTCTAAAGATTCCTTGGCCACGTGCATCCTGTCTGCACAATTACCTGTCATGATAGGGACATGGCACAGTGGACAAAAGCCTCGAGCCTGTAACCACACTCCGTGGGTCTGGCTCCTGGCCCCGGACCCTATCACCTACACTCTACATGATCTTGGGAAAAGTATGTGGTCTCCTGCCTCAGTTTCCTCATCACAATAGCATCCACCTCAAAACCTTTACAAGGCTTAACAAAGCCTAATTTTGGTAAAGTGCTGAGAATAATACCAAATACACAGAAATACCTGGTAAGTAAATTTTAACATGTTAATTTTTAAATACTTGTAGATAATGTTTGCTGCTCCTCCCCGCCCCCCCCAGTACTGGGGACTGGACTTAAGGCCTTTACACTGATGTATACCCCCGCCCTTTTCTTATTTCTTATTTTGAGACAGTGATGAAATAGGTCACTAAGTTGCCCAGGTTGGCTCAAACTTGTAAGGCTCTTTCCTCAGCCTACCAGAGTGCTAAGATTACACGTGCCACACACCAGCAATGTTTGCTTCTTGCGCCCAGAAAAGCAGAAAGTTCCTTCCCTGGAAGGTAAAATATTCATCTTCCTGATGCTAAGAGAGAAAGAAAACTAACCAATGGCAGAACAGAGAAGAGGCAAGTGGTAATCCATTACTGGGAAACAGTCCTGGGCAAGTTGATGGAAATTCCATTTTAGAAATTACCACATGACTTGCATCAGGCAGAGATGTGAGGACTCTTAACTTCATAAAAAGATGTGCACTAATGAATAGAGGAGTATAATTATAGGGTCTCCC